TTCATTCTTTAAGTAGGAATATGTATTTTGAATAATCAAGTGATTAATTGAATCAGGCTCTGCAGCAGTTTTAACAGAACTTGAGAAGATAGCTGACTCTAATTCATCTTGTGTAAGATCAGGTCATTCCCAGTCATTTTCATTAATGTAGTTGAGAAGTGATATATTCTCTTTCTCTGAATCTGAATCTGAATCTGGTGAGTTCTGAAAGAGAATTCTCATGAAAGCTTGATATTTTTTCTCAAAAGAGTTTGCTGTATATGATTCATTCTGAAACTCATATTCTAAGACTGAAAGTTTTGCTACACTTCTTGTTTTAGTATAGTTAAAAGCTTTAAAAACTTCCTTTTCTTATGCTTCTTCAAGAAATTTATTTCAGCAGTCTGTTTTAGCTCTTTTAATAACTGAAAAATGTTCATTTCTGACAGCTTTGAACTCTTTATCAGATATTATATCATTCTTTCAATCTCTTCTAGCAGTAGCTAATTCTTTTCTTTTAGATGAGATATTCTTATTTCATCAAGGTTTTGAATACTTAGAAGATTTTCTCTTTAGAATATTATCTCTAACACTTGTTAGAATAATAGATGTAATGAGCTTCACTCTATTCTTAAGCATTTCATTTGAGATATCTTGACCAGAATTTCAATATAGCTCACTCTGTCTTTCAGATTTTAACAGTTTTATGCTTTCTTCAACTGCTTTTCAATCAGCTTTTTCAAAGTTAAACTGATTAGAGAGAAGAGGATTTTCACTCATTTATTTTTCACTCAGTTCAATATTAAATTGAATAATCTCATGATCTGATTCTGATGTCTCATTTGAATCAATAAATCAGTTTATAAGTCTTTTTTTCATTAGATTTTGTAATATAAAGATTAGATCTATAATAGATTTCTGTTTCATATCTTTTCTAAAGAATGTTTGTTGATCAGACTTATTAATCAAATCTATTGAATGCTCAAAGGTTCATTCAATCAGATTATCAGCTCTCACTGCTCTCTTGCATTCTGAATTTCATCAGAGATGATGTGCATTGAAATCTTCTGCAATTATAGAGTTTCTTGATGAAGTTATGTTTAAAAATTCTCTATCAATTGTTCAGATATTGTTATTTTCCTTCAATGACTTTTCATTATAGATATTTATAAGCTGTATAGTATGAAACTCATTTTCTTTATCTATAATATCACTCATCAGAATATCAGAGTCAGACATAATATTAAATCTTAGATTAAATTGATATCTTGATCTCTTTCTTTCATAGATCACTACTCTTGACTTTATCTCTGACTTTTGAGATAGAAATAGACTGACTGTGTGATCATGTCTGAGACTAGAACTAGATTTTTTAATAGTCTTATTATCAATTTGACTGATCTCATTGCATGGTTTTAACATTAGATAGTAGTTTCATACTGTCTCAGTGAGACTTACTGTCTACTCTTATCACATTTTTCAAATGAGATTATGATTTCCACTTCTCAATTTAAATTATTTTTATTGCTTTAAATGACTTTAAATCTCATTTAAGCATTACTAAAAAGTGTTACTTTTTAAAAAATTAAAAATAGTCTAAAAAAAACCTTAAAATGTCTAAAAATAGTAACTTTATATCAAGAATGAGACTAAATGAGATCAAATGAGATTACTTTCTCATTTTTTTCAAGTCATGATTTCATTTTAAGATCTGATATATAGTCACTTTACATATTTTTTTAATAGTCAGTCTCAGCAGAATTCACACCAAGAAATGTATGAGACCAGATCAAATGAGATCAAATGTGAAATTCATGATCTCAGCGGCCAGTCTAATAAGAGTAGATAGTAAGTCTTACTAAGACAGTATAAAACTACTATCTAATCTTAAAACTATATAATAAGATTAATTAAATTAATAATAAGACTATTAAATATTCTGATTCTAATCTTAGATATAGTTACAAAGTCAGTCTATACTCTATAATATCACCTTTATTAAATAGTGACTTTATGTTGAAAATAAAATTAAATAAAATTAAATAAAATTACTTTTTTAATTTTTTTAAGTTATAATTTCATTTCAAAATCTGATTAATAATTACTTTACATGTTTTTTTAATAATTAATCTCAGTAGAATTTATATCAAGAAATGTATAAAATTAAATTAAATAAAATTAAATATGCAATTTATAATTCTATTAATCAGTTTAATTAAAAGTAATGTTTTTAAATAATATAATAACTGTAAAGTTTGATTTTAATCTCAGATATAATTATATATACTTTAATAAAAATATTAATATTTAAAATTTATAAAAATATTCTGATTAATATGAAGATTTAAATACTTACAGTTTGAAACACTTTAAAATTATTTCAGTAAATACAGAGTTTTATCAACTTATTACTTTTTCAGTAATTATTATATTTTACTATTTTTTTTATTATTTTATTTTCTGAATTATATCAGTTTTCTATAAACTTTTTAATAAAGAACACTTTTAATTTTATATATAAATTTTACTTTTTAATTATATAATTACAGCTTACTTTATTATATTGCAAATATTTATCTAAATAAAGTAATAGTTAAGAGAAATATTGAATTATCTTTCTGTATACTAATTACCTCTATTCATACTTACTATTAATCATTGATTAATATAATTGATTAATAATTATAAAATCTTTATAAAAGATTATATAGCAGCTAGCTTTTTATAATAATAATTAAGTACTTTAAAAACACTTTTATTAATATATTTATAAAATTATAATAATAATAAACTTAAACATTCTGTGAGTATAAAATGAAATAAAAAAATATGTATGAGTCAAATCTATTCTAAGATCATTGTATAGACTAACTGAGACTAACAAAAGACAAACTTACTCAGCTTAGCTCTAGTCAGAACATTCACATCTTTTTTTTCCCTCCTCGCCTTTTTCTGCTTCACACTGCTTAAATAGCAAATCCAATCAAACATCCACTCTGCCATCATTTGCCCTTCCACCACCCATCGCCAGCATTCCCATTACTCCGTCCTCTTCGCCCAGCTCTGATCCTCCTCATTATTGTAGACACTTCCCTTCTGCTGTCATTCCCTCCGGATCTATTTTATTGCTTTCTGCTGCTGCCTTTGACTTTTCAGTTGTCGCCCGCTCTCCTGGTTTCAACCTCCCCACAGCAAAATATCCCTCTCCGTTTTCTCCTCTCCCCCCTTCGCGAAAAAAAAAAAGCTCTGTTCTTTTCTTTCTTCCTTTTTATAAAGTCCTCAAAAGTTGTTTTTTTATATTCTCTCCTACCCTCCCCTTTCTCGTATACTGCAACAGCTACCAGCGTTTCCGTTTCTTCTTTTCATTTGTATATTTTATACGTCCCTTCGTAAGTTTATTTTCGCATGTTTTTGCTTCCTCTCCCTCTCTGCTCTCCAGCCACCCAGCAATTCTACCCGTTAACAATACTTTGAAGCTTATTTGCTGATATAATTTTGTTTGTGGCAGCATCTCTGTTTCGTTTCTTCTATATTTTCTTCTATTTCTTGTTCCCTTTTGTTTAGGAAAAAGAAAAAAATCGGTGATATCTGGTTTTTTTCCCTCTTTTTCATTTCCCGCCTCCCTACGACGTATCTGACTTGACGTACGGCTTCATTCCTACTGCCTGCAGCTGATCCCTTCGTCTCTATCCTTGGATTTATTTTCACGATCTTCAACCATCTGTCTTCCTTTCTACGTCCAAAGTTTTTTTCTTATTTAGATATCAAGAAGAAATCGCCCAGCATGGCCACCGCACCTACCACCAACCCGGCTCTCGTCAACGGAAACTACCACGCCCATCATCAAACCAATCCTTACGCCGCTGATGCCTATAATCCCTCTCACGCTGCCACCAATAGCGCCTCTTCCGCCAATTATAATAATAATCAACAACATAACAATTCTTCAGCCCCTGCTCACTCTGCTGGGTCTGAGCCAAAGAACGACATCCCCAAGGATGAGGTGGGATGGTTCTTTGTTGAACAGTACTATACTACCCTCAGCCGTAACCCTGAAAAACTGCACCTCTTCTACTCCCGTAAATCTCAGTTTGTTTCTGGTGTGGAGGCGGAAAAAGTTACCGTTGCCGTTGGACAAAAGGTGAGCTTTCCATAGTTTTTTTGGTATCCAAAATCTATATATCTGAAAACTAAAAAAGCTTATTTTTGAATTTTTTTTTTTTTTAAAAAAAAATCTAGGCTATCAATGAACGGATTAAGGAACTCGATTTCCAAGATTGCAAGGTCCGAGTTTTAAATGTGGATTCGCAGGCTTCCTTCGATAACATTCTCGTTTCCGTGATTGGCGAAATTTCCAACAAATCTGAGCCGTCTCGCAAGTTTGTCCAGACATTCGTGCTGGCTGAGCAACCAAATGGATACTACGTCTTGAACGATATTATCAGATACTTGGCCGATGAGGAGGAAGAAGCCGTTGTGGAAGAAGCCCCCGTCGAGATAGAGGAAGTAGCTGGGGCTGTGGAGCCTGCCGCGACCGCTGTTGAACAGGAAACAACCACGGAGCCAGTCGCTGAGCGTCAAGCAGACAATGAGACTGCAGGCCAAGAAATTGATGAGAAGCTTGAACAAATCAATGGTGATGCGGCTCCTGTCCCTACTGCTGAGCCGCAGCCCGCAACTGAAACAGCGGATGAGAAGGCAGCTCCGGCTTCATCTTCAACTACAGAACCCGCAGTGCCAGTAGCCTTGCGGTTCCCGAGGTCGCACCCGAAGCTGAAAGGCCCAAGGAGTCGGAGCCCACACCTGTCGTACCTGCTCCCAAAGGCGCTGCGCCAGTTCCTGAAAAGGAGCCTGCGCCTCTCGTGGCTAAGGCACCAATGAGTTGGGCGTCCATTGCCTCTAGCCGTGCTAGTGTCCCCGTAGCTACTACGCCCACCGTGGTTACCCCAACCCCAGCTACGGCAGCAGCACCAGCACCCCAGAAGGCGGCTGCTCCCTCTCCATCCCACGCTCAGTCGACTTCCGCTGCAGCCGCCGCCGCACCAGCTGCTACAGAGAGCGAGAACCTTACCAGCCAATCTTCAAGCGGATCAGAATGGCAAACTGCCGGTGCGGATCATGGCAGAAGACAAGGCCGTCCTCAATCCGTCTCTACCGCTGCAGAGGAGAACACCCGCGGTCTTATCAAGAATGTCAATGAGAAGGTCGATGCGGCGCTCTTGAAGCAGGTCATGTCCCGGTTTGGAAAGCTCAAGTACTTCAATGTGAACAGACAACAGGTATGTTGCTAAAAAGAAGTCCTTTCCTATTCTTTTTGTATATATATAACGGCTCCAGACTAACCCAAACAACGCAACACAGGGTACCGCCTATGTCGAGTTCGCAGATGTTGCTGCCTACAAGAGCGCTCTCTCCTCCAACCCCCACCAGATCGGAACCGAAGAAGTCACGGTTGAGCGCCGTCGACCTGGCGGTTTCGGGGGCAATTCCTACGGATCTGGTCGAGGAGGCTCTCGCGGTGGCCGTGGTGACGGTCGTTCTGGCAGCCAGGGCGGCCGTGGCGGTTTCCAAAATGACTCTGGCCGCTACACCCCCCGCGGCCGTGGTGGAAACCTCACACCCAAGGGAGGCCGCAGCCAGCCCCAAGCTGCGTAAAAGAATCAAAAGAAAATCAGAACACATGAATTGCCAAGGTCACCATGAAAGAAGAAGAAAATCCTGTCCCCTTTCTGTCTTTTCACCTATATAGGCTACTTACATGTACCTGGATCAAAATGATCTACGTACCTCCGCCCAACTACGTGCATACTCCTTTCCTACCTACATGCCTATTGGTATGCAGAGCTAGATTATCATTAATCCGTGCATCACTCAAACCCTACACACCCATATCTGGTCGGCCAGAGAATCACAACCACCACCACCTCACACATATACATTAAAAAAAGAAAAAAAGCGGCATTCAGAAAGAGCTTCTCAAAGCTCGTCTGTATCTCTTCCTAACATATGTATTATTTTCCAGCTTCCTCCCTTTTAAAATGCGCATAAATGACTTTTTTTTTTCTTTTCTTCTTCTTCTTCTTTTTCTTTTTCCATTTCCATTTTCATTTCAATATCATTTTCATTCCCCAGAGTTCTTCTTTTTTTTTTTTTTTTTTCTTTTGTTATTCACATGCTGAGTTGAAAACTAACGATGTTATTTATTTTATTTCCTTAATTACAACATGACGCCTTTTGCTATCTTATTGGTCCCTCTTTTTTTCTTCTCCTTTATTCTTTAGTTTTCTGTGGGTGCTCTCCGTGATTTACTCTCTCCATATCCCATCCGTGTCCAGACGCACCTGTATCTACCTCCAACAATTCAACCTCTACCACTCATTACACCTCCATTCCGTCTTCCTTTTCCTTTCTTGTTACTTATTCATTAGCGATGAGGGGGAAATAAAGCTTCAATTCCTTTTTCCAGCATGAATCTTCTTATCTTATTTCGCGATGTTTTCTCCAAAATCAGAAACAGGGTTACAACAGCTTAGATAAAAAGGAGCATTTTTTCCTTCATCTTACTTCATTGTCGTCTTCTCATTACTAGTCCAATTATTATTATTCTACTCTTGCCGCATACTACAATGACGAACGATACTGCCTCTTATGACTTTTATCATTTTTCGAAAGCTTATATTTTTCACTAGATAGTTACCTTCTGCTTTGTTATTTTTATACCATTCTCAATTTTAATTATGTCATTCCATTCTATTTCATTGCATTCAATTTACCTATACTTTTTATTAAACTTAAATCATCATCTCTTCCTCCGTTCTCCATTTTGACTCTCCTCTCTTCTTAATCATATAACCCGCCTCAACCACCCCTCACCCTCCACATCCGTCCCTGCAGAGATAAAATAAAATAAATAAATAAATGACAATGACAATGACAATCCAGCTAGAATACGCGTGCGCCAACAGGCATATACTAATTTCGATAGGAATGCATAGCATTCCCCCTTTGTCTTGTCTTGCCCTCGCTCACGCACTCATGGCACTCTCAGCGACGGAGGTTCATGTACGGACATACCCACACCATGCATACCGCATACCGGAGCATAAGGTCGACACACCTCCCATCTCCCCGTAACGTGATGGATGCCAGGAAGTATCTGTCGCCATACGTAGGCGTAAGGGGGATGTAAAATAACGGGGGGAGTCGAATGGTATGTTCAGTACAGTGCTGGCGGCTATCTGCTGTGGTATAACTATCTGTATTTTCAATTTCAACGCGCCACCCCGGCGCGCTGCTCCCTCTATCGTCTTCTGATCCTCGAGAAGTGTGACGGGGGGGGGAGGGGGGGCCCCATATTAAACGGGCGAATGAATAGCATGGTTGTAATAATGTGTTCCAAAGTTGTTGTTTGGAGATCGTGATGATATCTGAAGTGTAGTAGTTTACTTATTTTTCAGGCAGAAAAAAAACATGTATTTATTTTAAAAACAGCTCAACTATTGCTGGTTGAGTTTTATTTTTCACTGTCATCCTGCCTTGATTCCCTAAATGCCCGCTAGCAGAAACGACGAAATGTTGTTATGATATTCAATTTAATGGAACAGAGTCTACAGGGCGAGGTGAGAAAGCAAATAATTGTTGTTCTCTCACGCGCAAAAAATGAGAAGGGAGAAAACAAAATTGAAAAAAACCCTGAATTTTCACACAACCTCGAGATATACACGGATACAAAATCATTGCCCCCGGAACTGTGGAAGTAAACGGACCGGCCACGAAACTCTTCTCCGAAATCAAACCCGACGGCTAGGGATAACTTTGATTGATCAATCATCTTTAATTCTGTCTACATTAATGGCTTACGTTACCTGATGGCCATATACTTCTTACTTACACGCACAACTCATATCACCAGAGTCAAGATGATGATGAAATAAGAGCAAAAAGGAAACCAAAAACTAAAATAAAGTCAGGATATGTCTGAAAAGCTTAATTAAATAATTAAAAACAAACAGAACAGCTATAACCACGAAAACAGAAACAGAAACATAGGAAAAAGGACAAAAGCAAAAATACTGAAGCAAAAAACGGAGAAAAACAGCCGGTTAACCGCTAGAATATGATATATGACATCACTTGCTTCGTTTTCTTCTTATTCACTCTTTAATGAACACGCACACAACGCTTTTTGGTATTTTTGTCCTTTTAATTGTAAAACAAGGGCGAAGAACGAACTAAGTAACATTTGTGCGTGCATTTTCATCTCATCATTCCGCCATACGCTCATGATTTTTAAAAAAACCTGGTTTTTTGTTTAACTATCGGAAAGAGTAATAAAAAAAAAGGCAAAGGAAATAGGAAAAGGGGAAAAGCTAAATTCAAGAAACAAAGAAAAAGGGGGAGACAAGAGAAAATCTAATCAACCTCCTCCATGGCGCTCTCACCCGCAACCTCAGCGGGGGCAGCAGCCTCCTCCGTCTCCTTCTCCTCGGTAGTCTCAGCCTCCTCATCAATGTTCAAACCAAGAGAAACGAGCTTGTGAATGCGTTCCGCGAAGCCGGCAGGCTCCTCGATGGTGAAGCCCGAGACGAGCAGGGAGGTCTCGAAGAGGAGTTGGGTGATGGACTTGACGGTGCGATCATTCTCGCCGTCGGCCTCGACCTTCTTCTTGAGCTCCTGGATGATGGGGGATTTGGGAGAGATTTCGAAGGTCTTCTTGGAGGACATGTAGGAGCTCATGGAGGTGTCACGGAGGGCTTGCGCCTTCATGATACGCTCCATGTTAGCGGACCAGCCAAATTGACCAGTGCGGATGGCGCAGGGGGAGCCAATGAGCTTGTGGGAGACAACGACTTTCTCGACCTTGTCGCCAAGGACGTTCTTCAGGCTCTTGGCGAGGCCTTCGTATTCCTTCTCCTCAGCCTCGCGGGCCTTCTTCTCCTCCTCGGTCTCCTCGAGCTCGAAATCCTTGGTGATGTCGACGAGCTTCTTGCCATCGAACTCCTTGAGCTGGGTCATGGCATATTCGTCGATAGGATCGACGAGGAACAGAACCTCGAAGTTCTTCTCCTTGAGAGTATCGAGGAACGGAGACTTCTGGACAGCCTTGAGAGATTCGCCAGTGATGTAGTACATCTGTTTCTGGTGCTCTTGCATGCGGGTGACGTAGTCGGCGAGTGAGGTGGTCTCGTCACCAGACTTGGTGGAGTTGAAGCGGAGGAGCTTGGCAAGGGCGGGGCGGTTCTGGGCGTCCTCGTGGATACCAAGCTTGATGTTCTTGCTGAAAGCGGAGTAGAACTTATCGAATTGCTCACGGTCTTCCGCGATCTCGTTGAAGAGCTCGAGGGTCTTCTTGACGATGTTCTTCTTGATGACCTTCATGATCTTGTTCTGCTGGAGAGTCTCACGAGACAGGTTGAGAGGAAGGTCCTCGGAGTCGACGACACCCTTGATGAAGCTGAGCCATTCGGGAATGAGATCGGTGGCGTCATCGGTAATGAAGACACGGCGAACGTAGAGCTTGATGTTGTTCTTGGTCTTCTTGGTCTCGAAAAGGTCGAAAGGAGCACGCTTAGGAACGAAAAGGATCGCGCGGAACTCGAGTTGACCCTCAACGGAGAAGTGCTTCACAGCAAGATGATCCTCCCAGTCGCTAAAATTAAATAGTTAGCAAAAGATGAACGTGACAGAACTGAAAGACGAGTAAACCGAGTAAACTTACTTAGACAGGGTCTTGTAGAAAGAGGCATACTCCTCCTGAGTGATATCAGCAGGATTTCGAGTCCAAATGGGCTTGGTTTTGTTAAGCTCCTCCTCCTCGACCTTTGTCTCCTTGATTTTCTTGGTCTTCTTTTCTTTCTTTTTATCCTCTTCGTCGTCATCGACCTCCTCAACCTTGGGAGTCTTGTCGTCACCCTCATCCTTAACCTCCTCAGCATCCTCATCGGGGACCTCCTTCTCGGTCTCCTTCAGGACATGGAGGTAGATGGGGTAGGAGATAAACTCAGAGTGCTTCTTCACGACTTCCTTAATTCTGCTCTCATTCAGGTAGTCGGCCTGCTCGTCCTTGAGGTGGAGAATCATCTTAGTACCACGGCCAAGAGACTCTCCGTCTGTGTCCTGGGTGATTTTAAAGGTGCCACCGGCACTGGACTCCCAGATGTATTGTTCATCATCGTTGTGCTTGGAAATGACTGTCACCTTATCGGCAACGAGGTAGGCAGAGTAAAAACCAACACCGAACTGGCCAATCATGGAAATATCGGCACCAGCAGTGAGGGCTTCCATAAATTGCTTAGTACCTGAGCGGGCAATGGTACCCAGGTTGTTGACGAGATCCTAAAACAAAAATCCAAAATGTCAGTATTATTTTGTTTTCACAAATTTCTTGGCAAAATCACGAGGGAGGCTCAATTGGGAATATTTAACATATTGGGGCAACATACAGCCTTGGTCATACCAATACCGGTATCGCTGATGGTCAGGGTCTTGTTCTCCTTGTCGGGAATGATATCAATGCGGAGATCCTTGTTGGAGTCGAGTTTGCTTGGGTCTGAAAGGGCCTCATAGCGGATTTTGTCGAGGGCATCAGAACAGTTGGAAATCAGCTCTCGCAGGAAGATCTCTTTGTTGGAGTAGACGGTGTTAATGATGAGCGAGAGGAGCTGAGAGATCTCAGCCTGGAACTCGAAGGTTTCGGACGCCATGTCTGCAGTGGGTGATAGGATGGTATTCTGTGCAAGCTTTTAGTTAGCTTCGATTTCAATTTTTTCGTTCCTCTTTCTATTGTTCCTTGTGTTCTCCGCTTCTCTTCACTTCTGCTTACGAGACAGCAATGAACGTAAAAAAAAAGTGCAGATCTGGGTAAAATCGAATCAAGGGATCAAGATACCGATTGATTATTCCACTCTGCAGTCTTTCTTGTAGTGGGAGAGGGAGGGAAGAGGGGGTAAACAGTCGTAAAAAACAAAGGGTAACAGAGGCAACAGAGCTCTGTGCGGCTGCAAGAAAAGAAAAGAAAAGCACTTACGGATTACTGAGTAGGAGGGAGCCGTTGCAGTAGCAGTTGTTCAAAGATATGGGTATAGAAGGGGAGAGGAGAGAGATGAAGCTGGGATGCAGAGAATTGAAGAGGTGAAGAAGAAGGAAAGGAGGAGGAAGAAGAGAAGTTGAAGAAGAAGTTGAAGAAGAAGAAGAAATTGGGCGAGGAGGTTGCAAAAAGAAAAACAGAAAGACAGAGAACTGCGCAGAAACAGAACTTAAAAGCAGCGCCAGAAACAAACAAGCTCCAAGCCTTTCGCAGCTCCCCGCCCTGCCAAACAAAAATATCCACCGCCGCCTGCTCAATCCAGAACCCAGCGAATCTTCCACCGATTTCCATCGCTGCCCTACGCGCTAGCCCCGACTCACCGCCCGCCGCCTTTCTAGAACTATCCATCCATCACTGCTCATGTCCTGCTCGAGGCAGCGAGAGTTTCAACACGTTTATAGCACATGCCCAGCTTAAAGCCGAGAGTTTGGTGCCCGCCTCACCAGCCAATCTACCTGGGAGCTGATTGATCTACTACTATTAACTAATAAGTGCCAGACGCTGCGACAGCAGGCCGCGGATCAAACAGCGGAGGGAGGAGAGGGCGGGGTTCTGGAACATTCCGCCGCACCCGGAGTTCCGCCTCCCCCATTCCAAGGTTTCCTCTACTGGCGGAAAACAACCTATACGCAGTTACACCTACTCTCATACAATAATGATAGCAATAGTCGTCCTAGATCTAGATCTATGGGATGTGTAAAGCATGCCTGATACCTGCAATTAAATTGCACATCAGATTCATCTAGCTGTGTCAGTACATCTCACTACCTCTCATTAGTGAGTGCACCACACCATAAAGGAATTCACACCGCAACAGAATTTTGAAAATAAGTATCTTTTATATGGAAAACATGGATATCTTCAACATTATAATACATATGAGTCATATAGGTATATTATTAATTATTCCAAGTATATTACAGTATTTTTTTTTAAATAAAAATGTATATCTATTTTTCTAGAATGAAATTTACTAAATTCATCAAATCATAGCAGATTTCAGGTATGAGAGTGACAAAAAAAAAAAAAAAAAAAAAAACAAAGAGAGAGAGAGAGAAAGAAAGAGAGAGAAAGAAAGAGAGAAAAAGAAATTCATGTTTTTCTATAAGTACTACTGTTTGTATGATGAACCCATACAGAGATACAAATCATTTATGGTGTGGCACAATCCGTATGTACGCAGAAAATGTCAAAGAAATAAGAATAATACAATATAGTATAAAGAAATCACCTGGTGTCACATCAAAATCATATTCCATAATTGTAATAATCCGCCCTCATATGTTAAAACTATTAAACGTATTCAACCAACTTTAAAGGATGTTTTCCTCCTTACATGTATAGTTCCCGCCAGACAGTTCAGTCAGTCAGTCACCACTGAACCACCCAACATTCCACTCCGCAAACACTTGAGCCGTAAAACCCCACGCCTTCGCAACCCACAGTGCAAGCCCACCAACAACCCCCACACCACCAATGACCTGTATCACTACCCAGCCAGTCCGCTTCACATCGTCATTCCACCGTATCAGGCCCAGTGGATCCCGCGATGAACTCACATCCGCAACCTGGTACTTAACAGGCTGGCCATCCGGCCCCGGAACCATCACGGTCTCACTGCCACCCCCGCCCTTGCCTTTTACCGCCCACCGAGCCTTGGGGTGAGTAAAGCCTGGCGTTTGGGTTATGGGGAGGAGCGTGCCGTCCGCCACACACTCGCCCAGGCGTTCGGTTAGCCAGACTGCTCGCTCGCCACGGGCTAGAGATTGGTATCGTTCTCGTTCGTTTTGGAGGCTTTGCTGCAGATCAGATGCCCACTTTGCAAGTCGGATCTGAGCCAGGTGCTCCTCCCGCTGGGTGTGGTCGGCTACACGGGACATGGTATACGATGGCGGACCGCCGCTGTCGGCACCGGGGTATTGAACGAGGACCTGCGAGGGGGAGACGGATGAGAGGGGTGATGAAAATTGAGAAAGATTGGAAGTTATTCCACCTGGTTTGGAGGCTGAATAATCTTGTGGACGTGGGCGTGGACGTGTCAGAGAGATTGTATGCGAATCGCATGACTCTATCAACTTCTTCGCAGCTAGATGCCGTAGCCAGGCTATGTTATCCCGATCAAATAGCTTTTCTAAGAGTAAATTTAGCTCTGATGGGGCTAAGGGCTGCACATAATCAGGACTCATTAAGAGGCTTGCATCCATGATATCATCGTCATTGGAATTTGCGGAAGAAACAGCAAATGGTAAGGACGGGATGGTTTCTTCGTCGCCTATGCTACCAGCGAGATCACCAAACAGAAATGGTCGAACGCCTGCTTCCCGAGCCTGAGAGTGGAAAGATCGTTTTAGGGAGTGGATTTGGCTTTCGGTGAGAAGGTCAGCTTTGGAGATGAGCGGGATCACAGTGGCGACTTTTGAAAGCTTCTGGATGCATGATATGTCCGCCGACATTGAATCTATATAAATCGATTAGAATTCATGGCTCTTAAAACAAGCTTCATTTTATCTCAAAATCGTAACGCATACCTTCGGAGACAAGATATAATATAGCATCCACTTGGGAGCCCCCATTTCCGCTCAGAAGGCCCTGGAGATCAGTGTTGACTGAATCCAAAGCGGTTACGGCCCGCTGGAACTGTCGGTTGACATACTGCACGATACATTCTGCCTGATCTAATAAACCCAGGGTCCCACAGGCCGTGTCGACGAAGCACAAGTTTCTTTCCAATACGACGTCTCCCATACTTTTCCTCCTTCGAAGAACCCTCGAGTCTTCCAGATCCGACCACCAAGATGGGTAAGGCTTGGTGCTGGCATAGATCTCCACAATCGAAGTGGGCTCTCGTACATGTTGAGATCGATGAGATCGCTTCGAACCTGATTTGCTGGTTCTCTGAGCTTCTGTCCGAGACGGGCTGCGAGGGAGCGGGTCGACATGTACTATATCCTCAAGCACTTGAACAATAGATTTTATAAGGGACGTTTTCCCACAGCCTGCCAGCAAATTGCATCAGTAAAAATCTCACATGTAAAACTTTACCGGGAAATTTTTAAGGAGTCGTTTTTCTTACCAGCAGCACCAGCCAGGAGAATCTTAAACCTGCCCATAGATTTTCCTTTTTCAGTAAAAGGTCTCCGACTGGGCATTTTGATACTTGGCATTATAAGCTGTGCTGTGCTATCCTGAACCGCGGACGAACCGAGACTGCTGCAACCCTCATTTTCCGCCGCCCTTGTTGTATGAATCCCTCCATATGCCACGGGTACATCATCTGTGGGTCGAAAGGACCGGGTCGAGGTTGACTTGGGGCTGTCCGGAAGGGAGACTGGTTCCGCCGGTGAACGAAGTATGAAAGGAGTTAGGGGGCATGATGTGGGAACGTTAGAAGGGGTTCTGCTGCGCGTGTTCTTCAATGGCGAAGGGTCCCGCCCATCTGGATCTGATGCATCGCCGACCTCGACAGTTTTCGCTATAGTTTCCCTCGTCTCGGAAATAATGTGTCGGGGTGACGTATCGTCTATTTCTCTCGTAGGCTGGGGATCCGGCCATTGTGTCGAGGTACCGGATTTGGAACTGTCAGCTGTGGATTCTTCGAGGCTTTGCACGCCATATGTGTCCTCTCCCTCTTCTTCTGCTGAAGTAGCCTGGGAATCTTGTATATCGCTATCTCGAGCAAGGAAGAAGGTCTCGGGGGAAGTGTGGCAGAACTCGTCCTCAGGTCCCGCAGGTGAAGGGGATTTGCGGGGTCGGGGTAGGAAGGTGTCGGGAACAACGGGTCGCATAGTCACGGGCGGCGGAGGAGGCTCGAGCAGGTATATAGAGTGGTAACTAACACCCGCACCGGGCTAGAATATGTTAGGCAATGAAGAGGAATGTAGAAACAGAAGATAGGATGCCGGAGAAGGTGTAGTTGCTATGGGCGGGGATACCAGTAGATACTACCAGCTGCTGTACAGCTGACGTGGGGCTTGGGTCGGTGAACGGAACATGACGTGACCCGGAGTTCTGTTATGTAACTAACTAGTTAACTAGTTACTGTAACTTACCCGCCATCTACGCTTGGTCGGTCTGGTCTATCTGGTCTATTATTATTGTCAACATCGTGCAACATGTATCACGTAACTATGGAGTAAACTACAGTTCTTCAAAGATGGATGGCCTCACTCTTTCTGGCTCTACTTTTCGAATCTTTATGTTAATGAACCAAATGAACCTTCGTGTCCTTCTGCCCTGATATCCTTTGCATGTTCTTTCTCCCCTCTGATCTGATAGTGCCGCCAAGCCAGATCCCTAAATTAGCGCAGAAACACAAGCCTGAGTCTAATTAATAATGATTGATACTTGCCTGTTGTTTCTCTTATTTATTTTAATCCGCTTTAGCCCTTGATCGTCAATCCCCGCCATGGTGGTGCTCCACTATCCATTATTACCCCTGCCCTGAATCTTCTGTATAATGGTAGATATCTACCTTTTCGCCTTCTCGTTCCAAGAAGACTACGATGTGAAAACCACTGTTGGAACGGAGAGTTCATGTGCCAATGAAGCTTTTTCAGGGCTAGGCCATCCATCACTCATTTGATTGAGGAAATATCGAGAAAAAAATAAAAAAAAATAAAAAAAATAAAGACCTACAAACTCAAAAGTATGGAAGCAATTGCTAAATTCAGATTTTTGATACTGTTGGCTATATTTCAAACCATTGGAGCCGTTGTTGAACCTCAAAATCGTTCCTCTATATTATCTTGGCCTTCAAAGACTTTTTAGCCAGGCTAATAAGAACAATGTCATATCTGCATCATTAATCCTATTGTTCTTTGCAGAAACTTCCTTCATTCTAGGGAGTTACATTCAATTTCTTCAGCTTGGCAATAATTTTTAAAATAAATTGGATGTGAACCCCTTACATGATTAAACAATGAATGGAAGATTAAACGCAAACATCCTCTCTTGGCCAAGTTCTAGACATCAGGATTTTCTTTCTTTTTTTTTCCTCTCTCGAAGCAGGTCGCACAACTGTTTCAGAAGCTTTATTTGCTCACTTAATCCCTTCCATATCCTCTGCCATTATAGCTTTATTTAGTTTTGCATGGGATTATTCGGATGATACCAAAAGTCCATCCTCGGCGTTCTATTGCCTCGATTTACCCGGATCCCCGATAGCATGTTAATCACCTTAACATCCACAACAAGTATTGACAGGCAACAGCAATATATACCCGGATAGCACCCTGAGTACGGAGTACAGATCATAATGCTTTGATGTGCCAAGGTCCGCAGTGCAACATCTCGAAATTAGCCTTGTGTCAATCATTATGTTTCCCGAGTGTTGCGCCATATACGCTTACAGTGAAATCCTACGGCGTCCTTCTATAGGTTGCTGTTCAATTTCCACCGCCGAGAAATAAAATCGGCACTCTAGGCCCTTTTGTTGTTTCTTCTGAAGCAACTCGCACTTTGCTACCTAGGCATGCTGAGCCCTGCATGATGAAGCGCCGGTGCGGAGATTAAGCATACCCTATCACAATATTCGGTCTCCTCCGCCCGTTAAAAATAGGCCTTCTTTTTTGTTCTCTCTGAAGACGCAGTGAAACGAGCGGCTCATATACTTGCTGCTTACGAGGGATATAAAGTCCTCTGCCCCGCAGGATTTGGGTCAGACTGTACGCCTTCCCTCCCCTCCCGCCCCAGTGCATGCATCATCAACTATAACGTATAGGGATGGGGAGTTTTTAGAACAGTGAGAGGAGGCAGTTAGGGCCTGCATGCTTCCGTCTCGTTTCGCACCACACTCTCGCCCGGGGAGAGATTAATTCGAATAGCGGAAATTGATATATAAACGGCCCATGCCTCCTCCTCACGAGTTCTTACATCTTTCCTCAGCAACATCTTCAAAGACAGTTCTTGCTTGCTTGCAATCCATTATATATATCCACGTCCTACAACCCAGGGCCAACCGGATCACTCTTCAAACCCCAAGAAGAAACACCTCCCATTACCCGAAGAACCACACCTTAAAAACAGAAAGAGAACGAAGAAAAAGAAAATATTAAAAATGCAATTCTCCATCCTCCTCACCACGCTCACATTCGCCCTCATCAGAACACAAACTGCAATCGCCCTCCCAGCTCCAATGGGCCAGGTCGAACAGTCCGCACAAGTGTCACTCACCACCCAAGACCAACAGCAGCTACAAGAACTCCTGGTAAAACAAAATATCCAAGGCGAGGAGTGCCTACGGGTCTGCTACCCCAAGCCGCCAATTTGCATCGGTAAAGGAACGGCACGTAATTTTCTTCTTTCTCTTTTCTCATTATCATCATAACCCACTGCAATAGTTGCATGACTGAGGTCACCTTTTTTTTTTTTTTTCTCTCTTCCTCAATGTCAGCGCAGTGAAAAAGGGTTCAATTTAACTAACAAAGTTTTCTCTTGGATGCATATTAAAAAAATACAGTACGCGAAAAACAGACCAATGCACAGACATGTATGTACTATGTCTTTTCTTTCTGTTCTACACCTTCCCCCTCCTTTTCTTCCCCCAACCTACCCCCGTCCGGCTACGTGAGACCCCCTTTTGAGCTCTCCTACATTTCCCGCGTCCGCCAAGAGTGCCTGAAAACGAAATTCTCTATATAGCCAATTTTCTGACCATTTAATTACATGTAGTCACAATGCTGGACCTGCTGTGTCAAAAACTGATGAAGATATCATAATGTGCTGGGTTGGTTGTTGGTTGTTGTTACTGTTACTGTTATTGAGGGAGATAGGCCCAGTTTGCATTCGGAAGATTGACTGATTATTGTTTCCTTATTTTTCCCCCTTTTTTTTCCATGTGCATATTGAGGGAGAAACAGAGACAGGGAGGGTTGAGAGCTTCTCTTCTTTGCATATGTTTTTCTATTGAAATAAAGCTTTTTAATTTTATGAAGCCTTCACTTTTGGATTTTCATTATAAAAATGAAGTAGCTGTTCATTTAAGATGTCAATTCATCTTAATCCAATTAGAAATAATAAGCATGCATATCTCTCAGTTTTTTATTCATAACAGATATGTATGTCTTATGTAGTGTATCTGTATGTGAGAAGGCTCTATTATGCAGCTTTTATTACCTATGTAAGAAAAGGAAATATCACTTGGTTCCTATACACACATACAGATAGTTTGTCAATATCAATGAAACTGAAAGGTTCAAAATGATAATATAGTAGCCATAGCCTCCGCAAATAACATCTATAATTTAATCATGCGAAATGTTTGACTACGAAAACTTTACCTACATAACTCATTTTATGCAGGCCTGAGCTTTTTATTGCGAAAATGTGTACGGAGTAATCTGTCGCAAATTAGCTTGGAGAAAAGAGGTGGAAAGGGTGACAGGGAATTATATCACACACAACTCAATGGACTGCGCAAAATCTCGCTCTCTCATCCAGTGCCATGCTACTTGGGGATAAATTGAGAGTATCAATAATCAATAGTCAGTAAGCACCTCAGAGACAAAAAGGGAGAAACTGCCAGCTCTCAATGCTGATTTTTCATCCAGCTTGCAATAAATAGATATGATGTTGATATGATGCAGTTTTTAGCTGTAGATAGGGCGATGGGGAGATAAGTTTGAGGGAAGGGAGTTAGTTCCTCATGATGGTTATGCATAGAGTTGAGATTTTGACAGTGCAAAGTGCCAATTAACCATAAACTATCAAAAAGAGAATCACGCGGACAAACAATGGCAGTGCTGCCATAGCAGAAAGGAATTTTGTGGCTGCACAGGCAGGGTGGTTGGTTGATGTGTGATCAGATCTCTGCCTTCTTTGAATTGCAGATCTTTTGATTTCTCTGTCGGGGATTGTTCGAACCTGTCTGCATCATTTGAATATCCACATGATGCAGTCCATGCAATATTTGGATACATGTATAGCACATATACAGAGTATACACATATTTCTCGTGGCACCTGCTTTTCGCCCTGTCAGGAACAATTAAAGATATGCCGATATGCTGTTCCTTTGTGTCAAATTGTTTATAGAAATCAGTCCAAGAGCGCACAATAATTGTTCTCCTTCCCTTTGCTTTCCTGTTTCAATCCCCCTCGGTGTCTCATTCCCACCATCTCAACCCCAACCCCAACGCCACCCTCACCCCACTGATGCTTTTCGAAGATAAATATCGAAGACGGCCAGACTGATTGGAATGTAAGACCTCTGGGCAGAGGGCCCGAGCCCTGAATAAATTTTATCAACAAGGAACCCTCGAAGCGCCTTTTCTTTGAGGCTTGCCCCCCTTGTAGCGAGCCAGGGTTTGCACTGTGTAGGATGGCCCATGTTATTCCAGCTTAGCGCGGCCCAAAATAATCCTACCATGCCGCATGGAGCTTGTCGATTTCGACGCTACTTCACGTCCTTCCGCCACGCGGCTGGGATTCGCGAAGCCAGCGAGCAAACCCCACACTGAAACTCCCGGCTAGTTTCTTCCACAGAAAAGGGAAAGCCGACAGACTTGCTTCTTGGGTTGCTCTGTGCTGAATTTCGGGGCGGATGGCGGCAAGATAGAAAAAGAAAATAATGAAACTTGGGGCTTTAGTTTGCTTTCTCCGCGCATCAAGTGCAGGGCTATTTTGAGCAACCTCTGACGCTCTTGAAACTCTACGGAGTAGGAGTAACTACGGAGTAGCGATGATAGAACGGAGGTTCTGACCACCTCTGCGAGGTTTATCATTGGTGAAAATCTTCCATCCAGCCCTATTTGCTAGCTCCAGCGTCAGCATTAGCGAACAAGAGATGTAACTTAACCTCAAAAAGGTTTGAAGCATCGAGGAGGAAGATGGAAGGAAAAGTATACACTAACTACCATAACTACGAAGTATCCTTCTTAGTCACGCCGTTATGTGACGTCGGTCTGTGGAAAAACCAACCAAGCAACGCCGCCACGGCGCCGGCCAAGAACGCGGAGCGTCCCATCGTCCCGCACTATCCCGACAAAACTCAGCACGGGCCCGATTTGCGCCAACCTCAACCTCTACTCGCCGCCAGGGCTTCAACCTCCACCCAGTAGTCAGTGTTCTTCTGTTCGCTCCTTTTTGCGCGCTCTGCTTCTTTGCTTTTTGGACCTCCTCCCCCAGATTCCATTCTCCTGTTTTCTCCTGTGGTCTCCCTGTTTCCAAGTCCCTCGTTGGCCTGCTGCGAAAATTGATCCCACCAACTAGGTCCGCGCTCTCAGTTCCCGCCGCAGCCACCTGCGGCTCCCCACCCGCAATTTTTGACCACCTTCCCAGGGCCATCGGGCTGTCATCTGCCCTGTCTGAGGTTGTGTGTTGTATCTGTCTCTTGTCTCTCTGTATCCTCTTCTCGATACCGTTTGTGGTTTCTTGAGCAGCCCGAGATATATCAATCATGGCAATGGATAGAGACACGTCGCTGCCCGCTTGGCCCCAAACCATGCCTGAGGACCTTCTTGTTCCTGTATCTGGAGAAGAGGAATTTTCAAAGTATCTGGATTTCAACTTCAACTTCGCGGACTTGGACGATGTCGTAAACCAGCAGCACAATGCCATTCACGCTTTGGCCCCGGATATTTCAACATCAATGCAGGACGTTCAACCCCCTGGAATGGCCCATCACCAGCAGATGCAGAATACTTCTGAAGCCCCGGACTATCAACCTGAGCTTCACCAACTGCACCACCAAATGGGCATTCAAGGCAGCATAAATACGACAGACGCGAACGCAGCACCACAATTCTACGCCCAGAAACAGCAAGCTTTCCTCCCGCAACAGAGCTATGGGCAGAGACCATATATTCCGCCTACCCCCAACAGTGCCGAGATGCATGCCGGAATTCCTCATGGGCTTTCCAGGTTGGACACTGATAGTCATCGACACTACGAGTACTATGCAAGACCCAATGATGACCATGTATGATTAAAACCCCAAGTTGAAAATGAAAGGAGTGGTTTTCTGACTCTTTTATCAAATATTACAGAGCGCGTTTACCCCTTCGCTTTCCCCCGCGATGACCCCTTTAGAACAGCAGTTCTGTATGCCAGAATATACTGTTCCTGGTGAATACTTTACTCCCCTCACGTCACCAGCTCTGGAAGCGCGAAATGCGAACGGCAATGGGTATATGTTCAATGGCACCACATCACATACTCCAGATATGAGTTTTATATCTTCGCCGGTAGAAATGAGCAATCAACTTCCAAGCGCCTCTGCTCCATCGTCTCCGGGGCTCGCACGCAAACAGCGACGAAAACTGTCCTTTTCGACTCGGGCCGGTCCACGACTAGTTCGTCAATCTCCGTTAGTTCGTCCCCTTAGTCGTCGAAAACCTAGCTTATCCGGCCCGTCGGATGATGCTACCTTTTTTGCGAACCATGATAAGAACTCAAGTCGACTATCAGTAAACCAGGTCGATGGGTATCGCCATCCAGGAAGCACAGAAAGCTCAGGACAAGATTCTGTTTCCCCAGAACCCTTGTCAGAACCATTGATGCCTCCGCCTGCGCTCCCACGATCCGCAAGGTCTCCATGCATTGGAACCCAAGAGTCAAGATCTGAAGCAATTGCCCGTGAAGCCGCAACGCCTGCTACTTTGATGAAACTGCAGCGACGATCCCAGCCTGCGCAAAGTTCAGAGCATCAATTCTCAAGAAGCGGAGACATCGTTATCAACGAATATCCTGACGAGGCGATGGAAGATATATCGTTGCCTGAAGCCGCTTCCTCAAATTCTGAACTTGCTACCGCGTCATCTGGAACAATCGTGACGAACAGTGAAGCAACTCCAACGATCGCGGCTGAACAGACGCCCAAGTTGAACCCAGCCAAAAATGGGTCTTCAGAACGTCCATCAATCGCCTCTGTTACACCAAGCCCCCAAATCGCTGCTACGGCATCTCCAACTGGGCCGATTGGCACCAAGCGGGCGGATTCAAAACCGAATAGCAGAGTGTCCAAGAAACGACAAAGCGTTAGCTCCTCGCAAGTTAGTCCGGCATTGCGGCCGAAAATTAGCCCTAGCATTCAACCCTTAATTCGCGGTGATGGTATGCCTCACTCCTACTCTAGCTAGTCTTGTTTTTATCCTTCTTATATATTTTTTTAATTATTTAATATCGGCCACAACGAATTAACTGACCATTCGACTATAGTAGGTATCAACGCGGAAAAGTCAGCTCTTTACCTCGCCTCGAAATCCAATTACCAACACATCATTGAGGGTACTCTTCTACCAGGCGTCTCGTATCCAAATGCGCTGGCGGAAAACCTAAGCTCCAAACGGACGAATCACAAACTAGCCGAACAGGGTCGTCGAAATCGCATCAATACCGCACTCAAGGAGATCGAAGGCTTACTGCCACCGTCACTAATACGAGAGCGTGAAAAAGTAGACAGAGCCGGCGGTGCCGGCGGTGATGGTGGCGATGGCGCAACGAACAGCAACACCACCAGCAAATCATCCTCTGATAAGCCAAGTTCAACACAAACGATCAGCAAGGCAAGCACTGTTGAGATGGCAATTGTCTACATCAAATCGTTACAACGGGAGCTCTCGGAGACCAAGGAGAAGCTGAAAGTTGCTGAATCGAAGCTTGCTGAAAATGCGGATGGCGGTGGTAAAAGTCCGCAAGACACAGAAAAGAAAGACGATAAAAGCATAGCAGAAGGTGATCCGAAAGCTGCTGCTGCCACTTGAACTCTGACTTGCTCAGATTAACCTTGTATCGAATTACTTTCCTCCTGGCGGCTCTTATCGATCTACTTTTCTCGTGTTTCCTCAATTCCCCCTATTTCAAAAACCGAATAAATATATCTTCTCCATATCTCTATTTTATCTTCAGCTCTTTCTTTCTTGTCCATTTTTATTTCCTACTTTTATCTTCTCAACTTCTATTTTACGGGCTACGGGTTACGTGGATTTTTTATTCGATCAAAACAAGACACTGGTACTATTGGTGGGACCATACCTTGGTTATGATCTATTATTATAAGGCTGATTCCTATCATCACCGCCCCTGACCTCACAAACCCAATTTTCAATATACGCGTCGTCGAGAACACCAAAAAGCACCGCTCACATTTATTTTTGTTTTTAGAGGTGGTATTCTTTTACTTTTTTACTTTTTTATTATTTTTATTATGTTCATACTTAATGACGTGAATATAATATATATATATATACTGGGCGGCTATAGGCTGTGTATACAGAAAACTTGACCTCGCTAAGTGCGCCACTTGACCTCATTACATAATCATAACCCCGACCTCGCATAATGTTGGTGATTACTACACCTACCCTAGTCACGTGCCACCCCAACCTATCCATTTAGTGTAACTCGCATAGATAGATTACACACATAACACAACAATGTTATTCTTCAAGAGATTATGAAGCCCTTCACAAGCAACAAATAACCACAATAATATACAAATTAACATCTTCACACATTGTTACAAGTGTGTCTAGATGATTTATTAAGTGATTAAACTTATGATTAATCTAAGATTCAGAGAGATGTCTGACTTAATAAAAGAATATATGTCTTTAAGATAGAGAAATAAGAAAATATCAGAGTAGTAAATACAAGATCATAGATCACTGTTAATATTAATAATGAATCAGAAGATAACTTCTGAGATATTTAAGATAAATAATATAATTATAGAAGAATAATCTGATAAGTTTAATAATAAATATAAAGATCTGATTGAAGATATTAATGAGATATTTAAACTGACTATATAACTATATCTGAGATCAGAATCAAACTTTATAGTTATTATATTATTTAAAAGTATTACTTCTGATTATAATTTGTATTTATTACATTAATTCTGAATCATATTATTTTAAATATTAAAGATCTCAGATTCACTTTTTAAATAAAAATCTAGTTCTGAATAAAGAATATATTTGAATTCTTAGTCACATTTTCATTCTGATCTCATTATTGAGAATAATATTAAATAAGACTATAAAATCACTTCTCACTTACATAATATCATAATATAGTACTTATTTATTGAAAATTCAACAGAGAGTATTATTAAATATTATTACTTTTCTAAACACAGATCATAATTCATATAATTTTAATTATGAAAAAAATATAAAATACAAAAAAAAAAAAAAACAAAAAACAAAAAACAAAACAAAAACAAGAAAAAATCAGAATGAAAAATAAAAAAAAAATAAAAATAAAAATAAAAAAAATCAAGATTACAGAGTCACAGTACTCTTAAAATACTTACTTCTCAGAGTCTTTACAATATTTATTATTAACTATGTATCTCTCACAGTGAGAGTAACATAGCTGTAATAAGTTATTATCTTAATATTATCTAATAAATAATCAGTATATATCTGTATAAATGTGAATATTTAGAAAATATACACTTAAAAAGTGTGATCAGAGTGAACTCTGCTACTACTTGAATAATATTAAGAACAGAACATTGAAATCAATGATTTCTCTCATTGATTTCACAGATAAGATGTATAAAGATAATCTTGAGAAATATAAGATTCTCTGACTTCTAATAAAAATAGATCTCACAGAGAGACTCTATTTTCATAATATCAGAGACTGAGTATTATTAAAAAGTATTACTTTTATGCAATGCATATGCACTTACTGTAACAATTCATTCTCTACATATATAACTGAGAGTAGACTGGCCGCCAGAATCATAAATTTCACATTTGATCTCATTTAATCTAATCTCATACATTTCTTGATGTGAATCTCACTGGGACTGGCTATCAAAAAAACATGTAAAGTGACTATATATCAGATCTTAAAATGAAACCATGACTTGAAAAAAATGAGAAAGTGATTTCATTTGATTTCATTTAGTTCTATTCTTGACATAAAGTTACTATTTTTAGACATTTTAAGGTTTTTTTTAGACTATTTTTAATTTTTTAAAAAGTAATGCTTTTTAATAACACTCAAATAAGATTTAAAGTCATTTAAAGCAATAAAAATAATTTAAATTGAGAAGTAGAAATCATAGTCTCATTTGAAAAATGTGACAAGAGTAGACAGTAAGTCTCACTGAAATAGTATGAGACTACTATCTAATGTTAAAACCGTGTAATGAGATCAGTTGAATTGATAATGAGACTATCAAAAAATCTGGTCCTGATTTCAGACACAGTTACACAGTCAGTCTAACTGAGAGTTGCAGCTTTTTCACACTGCACAGCTCTCTCTGAGATACTGGTATCAGTTTGTAACTCACACAGTCTCTTAGTTCAGTACACACTGTATATATACAGCTCTGCATGCTGAGGCTATATTAATCATTATAATCTGATATAATACTTACTTTTCACAGACCATGTTTCATTTGAGAGAGAGAAGAAAAAGACATGACTGTGATTTTATTGAGAAGAAATGAATAATTAATAATATTAAATATAATTTGATTCTTCTGTATTTAAAATTTAATTAGTCTATACTCTTCAATTTGAGAGTTTCTAAGAGTGTTTTAATAGTTTTCATATCAGCTTGAACTTAGTGATGAGTTAAAGAAGAAGAGAAAAGAGAGAAGAAAGAAATGAGAATAACTTATTTTTATAATATAAAAACAGAGAATTGCTGCAATCATTCTTTCTAGTAATAAAAATCTGTTTTCTGCATGTATCTCTGATATAGATTATATAATAACTACATATAAAGAATATCAACACTGCATGTATTAAATGAAGATGATGTTACTATGTAACACTGTAGCTGTTTTTATATATCTCTGAAAGCTGTTAATATTTTCTTTATCTCTTTATATTTGATAAGTCTGTAATATATTTCAATGCACTTTCTCTTTCATCATCATTATTATCATTATTATCATTATTATTATTATTATTATTATTATCATTATCACTATTATTATTATTATTATCATTATTATTATTATCATCATTATTATCATTATCATTATTATTATTATTATTATTATTATATTATTTCTGACTGTCTCTTCTGTCTTTATTTCTCTTCAACACTTATTAAAATTAATTATATCATCTCTCTTTAAATATTCTGCGGTTCTGCAGATCATCAAGGCATGTGAGTATTATCACAGATTGAAGAAAGAGAAGAAGAAGATATTTAAGTAAGAGAAGACAGATTATAAGACATATTATAATATCTTAAAGAGACTCTGTAAGAAAGCAGAATAATAATGATTTTAAGTAACACTTCTGATAGATTTAGACTGAACTAAGTATAGAAATAATGTGAATGATACTGTCTGTGAGAGATTGAAGAAGAAGACAGTGAAGAGTCTTATACAGTAGTGATAGAATCAGAAGAAGTTCTGAGAATAATTTAAGTTTAAGATAGAGAGAGAGAGAGAGAAGAAGAGTATTACTATAAATAAGCAGCAGCAGAAGAAGATTAAGAGAGTATTAAAGTAGAAGATAAAGAAGTTAAAACTGATAAGTTTTTTATTTATTAAGAGATAACAATTTTTAATAATACTTCTGTTCTCTAATTGATTAGTAGAAGCTGATAGAGAAGAAGAGAATTAAGATCTTGTTCAGATCTTGAATGCACTTCATAATTCAGAATATTAAGAAGATAGCTCTGCTCTCTGAGTATATCAATCTACTTACTGCTGAGATGAAACCTGAGACAGCAGATCAGAAAATATGAGATTTTGAGACATAGATTGATCTGACTGAGAGAGAGCAGTGAGAACCCTTCTCTGAGAAGACAGCAGAGAGAGATTTTGAGATGATTATTATCTCAGATGAGAAGAAGAAGAAGAAGAAGAAGAATGAGAAGTAAATTATAAAGAATAATAAGAAGAATAAGAAAGAGAAGAAGTAGAAAAAGTTTTTTTCTTTTTATATTAGTTAGTTATAAGTTCATAATTATTAATAATTAAAATTGATTTTGAGTTTTCAAAAATTATTATACAAGTTGTAATCAAGTCAGAAATAATATATATATATATATATATATATTTAACTATCATGATTCACAAATCACTATAATGTATAAGTATTAACATTTTTTCAACATTGATATTCATAATATTAATATATTTTTAATGATATTATCTAATAATATAATTTAATAACACTCTCTTTCACAATATTAATATATTTCAAGAAATATGATAGAGATTAATTAAGATTATTTATTTACTTTTATACATTGATGATATTCAATCTGAGTTAGTACTAAAATTATAACTAAGCTAAGAAATAAGATTATTTTCTCTTATATTAATTCTTCTTACATATATCAGTGATTAGTTATTGAAAATAAATTATTATCTTTCTCAAATTATTATCATATCTTCTGAATTCACTTCTTTCACTTCTTTTAATTCTATTGAAGATTCACAAACTCTTCAAGAAATCACTGTGAATTACAAAGTCTATATTATTTACAATTCAACACAGAATACTCTCTTTAAATTATAATGAATAATCACTTCATTCTTCACATCTGATTTCAGGTCATGAAATTTATGAAAAACTCAACACAAATATCAAGATAAACTATAGAATAATTATCAATAGATTATATTATAGATTACTGAAGAGTCATCTCTCTACTATAATCACTGTAACTTCATTCAGAAACATTTATCATGAACTAGTTATAGCTCTGAAGAAATTTTCTGATATCTGAAGTCATCAGAATGCAGATAATAAAAGAAAAATAATCAGAAAATTACTACTGAGCTGATAAGTTACTCTATCAGATAATAATTTTTAATAACACTAACTTTCTAATTTGAAGAAAATCATGCAAAAATAATCATATATCAGTACTCTGATTTCACAACTCTCATCTGATAACTTCTGTGAATAATTACTTTATATATATATATCTCTGAATCTTTCTCTTCAATTAATTGAAAACTCTGAATTCTGAACACTTCTTTAAATGCTTAATTTAAATCTTCATATTTCACATCAATTCTGTCTTCAGTTCAATCTTAAGATATACTATAAAGTCAATATATAATATCTAGAATCAGAGTTGAAGAATCATTGAAGAGTGTCTCTCATAGTGAATATATGAACTAGTATAAATAATCTTGCATTTATAAGAGTTATATATTATTATATTGATAAGAACTGAACTTATCAAGAGACATTAATTGAATTTGAATCATTGATCAGTAGTCATACTGAGAATTATATAACAGAGATATTAATAACTGTGATTA